TACTTCTATAGACTCAGCCTCCATGGCTCGGGACCATCGCCAAATACGTCAGGTCTCGGCTGCGTTACACGTACGACTAGCCGAGGCGGCTCCAATACTGGGCGCTGACCGATTTCAGCGGGTGGGACTATGGAATCCAGCTCACGGACTACGCTTTGCGACAACAGCGACAGCGGAGGCGCCCAAGCCGGATATCCCAGAAACCACAGAGACCGAGTCCTCACCTCAAGACGATGTGGCTGCGGCAGCCCGTACCGATGACCCCTTCCCGCACACCCATAATGAAGCAGGCGATGCTGTCGGACAGGATGGAGAAGCTAGTACGGGACACATCTCGGAGAATGCAGACTCTAGCGACCTCTCGTCCGAAGGAGAGTTGGAAACCAAGGACGACGAAGACGTAGATGAACATGTCTCTCTTACCTATCAGATCCCAGAGGAAAAGCTGCGTGCTGCAATGCTTGCCACTCCCCAAACTCGTGATAGTTATTGGAGTGCGAAGCTATACCAAGGGCCCGAGGGCGAAGCGATCTCGACCCATTATTGCAAGTCTTTCGACGTTGCTGAAAGGGTGGCCAAATACTTCTTACAAGAAAAAGTGGTGGGCTTCGACATTGAGTGGAAGCCTCGCGGAAACCCATATTCCATCAAGCAAAATGCGTCGTTGATTCAGCTCGCGTGCGAAGATCGCATCGCACTCTTTCATGTGTCGCTGTTCTCTGGGAAGACAGTCGAGCAGCTGATGCCACCCAGTCTGAGGGCTGTTCTAGAATCACCCAATATTTACAAGGTAGGTGTGGCTATCAAGGGAGACTTCAAGCGCCTGGAAAAGTACCTCAACATTCAATCTCAAGGTGTCTTCGAGCTTAGTCGCTTGCACAATCTAGTTGAATGGTACGAGGTGGAGCCTAGCAAAGTGTCAAACAGACTTGTAAAACTCGCTTCTCAGGTGCTACAGCACCTCCAACTGCCTTTGTACAAAGGAGAGCGACTAGTCGACGATCCGGATACAACCTCCAGCGTCCGAGAAAGTGACTGGAGTCTGTCCTTAGATTTGCAACAGATACACTACGCGGCTGCCGATGCATATGCTGGCTTTCGTCTTTATCACATGCTTGAGTGGAAGAGGACACGGATGAAGCCAGCCCCTCCTCCAGTGGCCCTTTGCGACTTCGACAACAAGCCTACTCCCAGGCCAAAGGTGCCCCGCAAAAGGGTAAAGGCAGCTACCAAGTCCGACGATGCAGCGGACGTAGTTGCGAAGCCGTCAATCGACGTGACAGAAGAGCAACAAGAAGATGAGGAAGACGCGGAAGGGTACGAGACGGCGACGGAGGAATTTACCGACAGTCATGAGCTCGAAGACGCACCAAATGAAACAAGAAAAGCTGCGCCCGTGGATGACTCAAACAAGGCCTCTGCGGCTGAGGCTGCGATGAAGCCCGATTCGAACAGTGTTGAAGAAAGTGGAGTTTCTTCACAAAAGCGAATTGGCCGTGTGAGCCTTTCCTGGCTCCAAAACACCGACCCCGGATACCCTGAGCTGCCCAAGACATCGCAGGAAGAGGACGTGGGCCTACAGTCTACCGGATCTTCCAAACATGAGGTTGCCATGCAGATGGAGAAGCAAGGCCATGGTATTTCACGCCGGGAGCAGAACGATAGCGATGATGAATACCCAGACCCAGAGCTTGAAGATGCGCTTAGACGCATGTCTTTGGACGAAAGTGGGAAGCTTATTCAAGACGGGAACGAAGCAGCATCAGAGCATACTAGCCCAACACCTACCATAAGCCAAGACGATCTGGGAACGCAGTCAGTACTTCCTACCCATCCAGCAACCACGCAAGCTTCTAATACTGCCAAAGTGGCTGAGCCATCAGGTCTCAAGCATGATTCCCTCGATGTTGTCGATTCCGCCGTGCCAACACCAGCTCCGCAATCAAGCATCGGCCTACTCAATGAGTCATCACGAACACCTGAGTACAACTTGGCGACGACATGGGCACAGGAACATCTTCAAGTCACTATTCCATCGCCTACTTCAACAACACCCTCAGGTATACGCGCAACTGTGACACACCTTCGCGCATATCACATGTGGCACTACCAGAAGCTCCCACTCGAGAAAATGGCAGCAATCTTGCGAGATCCGCCGCTCTCGAATAACACGATTGCGAATTATATCTTGCAGGCAGTCACACTGGAGAGGCTTGAATATGAGGAAGACTCTCTTCGAAGTGTGTTACTAGCGCTACCTCCAGGGATGCGAAAGGGACGATGGAGGGGGCTGGCCGAGGAAGTTGGCGTGTGACATGAACACATCGACCGTAACCTAGACATTGGCAGAGTATTCTCGAATGAACAAGCTATTCTTAGATGTTTTGTGAACGTGGGATGAAGTTGAATACGTGTTCAGAGGATTTGCGGTGTGTTTATGTGTTCTCTTCGTATTCACACTTGTCAGTTTGCACATGGAACGCAGGACGCGGAAGCCATTCCGCTTTTGTCAACCAAGTCGTGGCTCATCTTTACGCGTCTATGGTCAGCTCACGCGTCTATACTCAGTGCTGCGCGTCTATGATGTTGCGATACAATGTGACACGCCAACGATGTCCAAGTATATGAACAGTGGACAGTTGTCACCATTCAGCCATGGCCGTACTCACCAGGTACCATGTGCGGTGCAAACTAAGTCAGGGTCCAGACACGCCCGCACTAGGCAGACCCCACGCGTGCCAACCGCGAAACTGCGGTGAGGAGCAGCCATCCCTGCAGGAACTCCGAAATACATCAGGACAGCCGGCCCCTGCTTTGCTACACCTCTGACTGTTCTGACGATCTTCGACCATCCCAATTGAGCTTTGTCTGTCCGCATACCTGTCAATTCAAGACTCACGAGGAGACTCCCACCATGGCCGCCGCCGCAGCTGTCTACCCCCCGCTCGACCAGCGCCCGGTCAAGAACACGGTCCTCCTGTTCGATGTCGACGACACACTCACAAAGCCCCGTCAAGTGTGTACACTCGATGCATGCTCAGCGATGCTTCTCTAACACCGTTGCAGCTCGTCACTCCGCAGATGCTGCAGCTCCTTTCCGAAGTCCGTCACAAGTGCGCCATCGGTTTCGTTGGCGGCTCCAACCTCGTCAAACAACAAGAACAGCTCGGCGGCCCCGTAGACGTTACCTCGCTGTTCGACTTCTGCTTCGCCGAGAACGGACTCACTGCCATCCGCATGGGCGAGGTCCTGGCTAGCCAGAGCTTCATCGCGTGGATTGGCGAGGACAAGTACAAGCAGTTAACCAAGTGGTACGTATATACAGCAGGTTGTGGGATATCTTTAACACTGATTCTAGGATTCTTCACTACATCGCTGATCTCGACATCCCCATCAAGCGCGGTACCTTCATCGAGTTCCGCAACGGCATGATCAACGTCTCCCCCATCGGCCGTAACGCCTCCACCGAAGAGCGAAACGAATACCAAAAGTACGATCTCGAGCACAAAGTTAGGGAAACCATGGTCGCCAAGCTCAAGGAAGCATTCCCCGACTCTGGTCTCACATACTCCATCGGTGGTCAAATCTCGTTCGACGTTTTCCCTACTGGCTGGGACAAGACCTACTGCCTGCGACACATTGAGGCGGAGAAGGGACTGACTGGTGTCGTCTACGACAAGATCCACTTCTTTGGCGACAAGGCTTACGAGGGTGGAAACGACTGGGAAATCTACAGCGACGAGCGGACGATCGGACATAAGGTCAAGAACCCAGATGATACCTATGCGCAACTTTCGGAGCTGTTGAAGAGCTTCCAGTAGTGGGTTTGGACGCATTAATAACTATTCTGACGAAGCACCCACGGCAGCATCTTTCCGTCTGATATGAGGAAGATAGTACTGGCGATAGAGTACGACATGTAATGTGAACAAGAATCATACGATGCCATTGGTCGAGGGATACGTTCTGGGCCTCGATTTCCAGCATTCCCTCGCATCGGCATATGCCCAGATTTTGACTTCCGCGCAGTTGCCGCACTCCGTGACTTTAGTGGAGCAGCGTTGATCATTCGATAGTGACTTCCTGTGCACCAAGGCATTTCCCGATGACCCATACCGGAAACAACAGCCCGACTTGCTATCAAAACCTTAAATCTGCAGGGCTCAGCAAAGGGTCCAGTAGTGAGAGGCTTATTCATACAGCGCCCTGCTTGGTCACCATCAGCTTCAATGCCGAGATACGTACACTCTTTCTATTATAGGCAGTTCGGAGCTGAGCGTGTCAATCAACCACGCTGGTCGTCATTGGCTTGTCGTGTAACATGGCGTATGCAGGTACTCAATCCGATCATCTCCCCGCACCGGAGTACAGCCGGGATCATGGCACCGGAAGTTAGAGGTAGAGTGCACATTGTGATTGGGTCCATCCGCACCGATTGATACACAACACCGGTTTCCAAGACGGCTTTTCACAGCATGACATGCCGTTTAAGATGCAGGCCACTTTCGCTGATCGAAATGCTAGATCTTGCATCTCAACACCGAAGCAAGGAAGCCAGATCTGACCGGGCAGCTGGGAGTATACAAGTACCGACAAGAATACGGCGACATCCTGGGAACGAACTGCTAACTTTTACACGTACTCCATCATGAGACTACCTACAACCCCGCTCTTCCTACTCCCAGTTCTCGTGTCAGCATCCCCTCTCCACCATGCTTCCTGCATTCCACCACAGACTTCTTCCAACACTTCCAACACTTACGACTATATCGTCACCGGTAGCGGTCCAGGAGGCGGTACAATCGCCACCAATCTCGCTCTTGCTGGACACTCCGTTTTGTTGATCGAGGCTGGATCGGACGCTTCGTTTGATATCCGCACCCAAGTGCTCGCTCTGAATGACTACTCCAACACGAATGTAGCGTGGCACTTCTTCGTCAAGCATAGTGATGACGAGGAGAGGTTGAAGAGGTATAATCTGTTGGTTTGGAGGTTGAAGAATGGGGAGTGTAAGTTGAGATAACGATAGACATTACCTGGGCCTGCCTTGCTAATGTCAGTGATAGACTGGGTTGGGAAAGATCCCAGTGTTGAGGGACACGTAGGCGCTGAGAGATTGGGCGTTTTCTATCCTAGAGGTGTAAGTGGCATCCTTCCCTTGCGAACTGCATGCGAAATAGTTACTGATCGTATATGCTGCAACGTAGGCCACTTTGGGCGGGAGCGCGATCATCAACGCAGCTGCGACGTTCCTGCCAAGCGACAGCGACTGGGACTTCTTTGACAAGGGCGTTGAAGATGGTATTTGGAGGTAAGTCGCCAACAAGTCTCGTCTCTCAAGATAGTACTAACATTCACACAGTGCCGAATTGATGCGGAAATACTTTGAGAAAATCGAGCATAACAACTATCTCGAACCCGGTACTCCTGGTCACGGCTTTAAAGGCTGGCTACAGACGAACATTGCTGATCGAGCTACCCATGCGGCTGAAGCACTCCGCTTCAAGGTCTTCCAAGCTGGATTAAAATTGGTTGGGAAAGATCCCGAAAATGTACTGGACTACCTCACCAGCGACGCGAACTATCTCGATCCAATGCGTGACCAGACAGAGGGTCTGTCGTCACTGCCATTCCACGTCACACCCAACTGGAAGCGCTTCAGTCCACGCGACCGTATCCAGGAATTGCGCAAGCTAACGAATTCGAACGGAACGTTGAAGTATCCGCTACATCTGCAGCTTGAGTCTTTGACCACGAAGGTGCTATTCGATGAGTGCGGTAGCAATGGCACAAAGCCGCGAGCCATTGGAGTCGAATACTTGCAAGGCAAGTCCGTATATAAGGCCGACCCACGTCGTAACACATCCACCACCGGTACACTGCACCAAGCTTTCGCTCGAAAAGAAGTCATCGTAGCTGGTGGTGCCTTCAACTCGCCGCAGATCCTACAGCTCTCTGGTATCGGGCCCAAAGCTCTTCTTGAGAAGTACAACATCCCTGTAATCTCTAACTTACCGGGTGTGGGTCGCAACCTCCAGGACAACTACGAGGTACCCATTTACGGGAACGCCCAAATCAGCTTCGCAAAGACACCTGACCCCAATGCACCAAAATGCACAAACGGATCACCCGGCGATCCATGTATCGAACTTTGGTACAATGGCCAAGGACCCTACGCGCGCGGCGGCACAAACTCGAACGCGTTCCTCCTCAAGACAGCCCATGCGGTCGAAGGCGAAAGAGACGAACTAATGTTCGGCTTCACGGGTGGCTCCTTTGCAGGCTTCGCGCCACCGACGTCTCAAAACACGACACGCTACCCTCCCACAACATTTTCTTGGTCCACCGTCAAGATACATCCCCAGAACACTGCCGGATACGTCCAAATCCGATCAGCCGACCCAGTAGACACACCGGAAGTGAATTTAAACTACTTCGCCGAGGGCGCAGCAACAGATTTAAACGCCATGCTCGACACTGTTGCTTTCGTCCGTAGAGCATTTGCTTCCACCGAAGCACCGGTCGGACCTGTGACACCTGTTTCTCCACCCTGTCCGCCGGCTGATGTCCTTGAGACGGGCTACTGCCGTGAGGTGCAGATTGATAGGGAGTGGATTCACGACCAAGTCTTTGGTCACCACCCCACAAGTACGAACAAGGTCGGCCCGGATTCTGATCCTATGGCCGTGTTGGACACGAGGCTGAGGGTTAGAGGGGTCGAAGGGCTGCGGGTAGTAGATGCGAGTGCATTTCCTAGATGTCCGGGTGCGTTTCCGGCGGTTAGCACGTTTTTATTGAGTGAGCGGGCGACGGATCTGGTGTTGGAGGATGTGGGCAAGTGGTGAATTGGATGTTTGTTGTTGGTTCGCAAGGCTATAGAGAGATGGTGCAAGCATTGCAATGGCCATTCTACGAGCTTGACTGAGATAAAAGTGAATTGAATTTTCGAATATTTAATGTACAGACAAAGAGTAATCGACGCGAATCTCTCATCGAAGCAGTGGGAAAGCAGCATGACGAATGTCAGCTCCAGGAGCCCTGCATTAGCGTCTCTGGCCCTACCTAACAGCTTTGATTGGGCCTACAGGGAGCTGGGTCCCCACAGTGCCCTCCCTGCCGTGATCGATGGATTTGCTGTAGTTGCCTAACAGGGAAAGCCGTCCCTATGGACAAGGCTTTGATTGGTGCGACAGGGACAGCGAGATCCACACTGCCCTCACTGCCCTTCCTCTCTCCCGCGATCGATAGTCTTTGCATAGTTGCCTGATCGGGAAGGCTTCCCTGTGGAGCCAATCAGGGCCTCGCCTACAGGGCCAGCGGTCTCCACAGTGCCCTTCCTGCTGCAATCGACAGTCTTCGCACACCTTCCTAACCGGGAAAGACCCCCTGCCAGCGAGGCCCTGATTGGCTCCACAGGGCTGGGAGAGGGAGAACGCGTTCCCGCGGCCAAAAATTATTTGTCGCAAAGCGTCCAACCCCAAACCAGTCCGCCAAAACCACCGCATTCCACTGCAAACCTACGTAACTCGAAAGCGCCGAATTTCAACCGACTTCTGTAACAAAACACACAAAATGAAGCTCCTCACCCTCAATTTCCTCACATGCGCCATCAAAACCTGCAAAACCAACCCCGCGTCCTTCCCCCTCCACCCCCGCGATGCCGAACTCGAAATCGTAGAAGCAGACATCAACCTCGCCTTTCTCAAGAATATACTACCGAGGATCATGTGGGATGAATTGAGGGGGATATGCAGCGAGGTATGCGACCAAGAAAACACCCACCAGACGGGGAAGCGTATGCGCATTGCATACGTACCTGCTTCAAAACCTTGGACAGAAAGCTAACGAATAGTGCTTTCTAGCTTGGTCTTCCTGAACTCCCCGCAACAGCACCCACGCCCGCCGATCTCGTCGAACCTTCCTCTTCCCCCGCTTCAGCATTAGACACCACAGACGCGACATCAGCGGCTGCGACGGAAGAGATAGAAGAGGAGCCTAGCCAGACAGCGAAGGATCTACACAGGATATTGCTTGAGACGTGTATACAAGAGGGCAAGCTGGTGTGTGGGGCGTGTGAGCATGAGTATGCGGTCAAAGAGGGGGTTGCGAATTTCCTGTTGCCGGGACATTTGGTATGAGTTGGGGCGACTGAGATGAGGTCTCTTGGTTAGACATCGGAGTGCCAGTGGAAGACGCGTCTATCGAATAACTACAAGCGCGACTGGCAGTCTATGGTGGACTTGGGCTGAAGAGTGTGTACAACACTATGATGCCGTGGGCACAGTATGAATGCTGTGCGCCAGCAGGGGAGAACGATAACTGTGAAAGAGGATTGGAGGTGGTTGGTGGGAGCGGTTACTTGATACCCTTTTGATTGCGTTCACCCACATATGGGGGAAAGCATTGTGCTGCACACGAATCTAAGGCCTCTGCGGCCTGTATTGCTTGCAGAAGCATCACCCAAGTCAAATGAAACATCGATGGAGGGCAACGCGTTCAAGAATTGAAGCTACACTTTTCCCTAGCCAAAATGGTATCTACGATATGCGCCCAAACACCTATATGATGGCACTTCTACCAGCGAGAATCACGAGCCGAGAGCGCGGTTGATCTGCACCCTCTTATCCTCACCACCCGAGACAATACCCACTGCACTATCCCATCTTACGCTGAAAACCTTCGCGCCTTCTCCATGACTCTTGGCACTTTCGCGTCCTTGCCTGTAAATCGTGTACACGCTCTCACCAGTCATTCCCTCTCCAACCTGACCACCTGTGCTAACATTCCTGAGATCCCAAATCTGCACCGTTCCGTCATGCGAAGCAGACGCCAGGTTGTATTCGGAAGATGGATCCGTGTCCAAAGAAACAACACCGTTCTTGTGGCCTCGTAGTGTCATGACACTAATTTGCGTGGCAGATGCGCGGGGATCGACCAATGTGATGTGTCGTGCTGAGGTACCGGTTGCAAGCAGGTTTCGGGAGGGGATGGCGCATAGGGAGAGAAGCGAGTGACCGGTCGTTCGGGTGTCAACGCACGATTGGGTAGGCAGATCCCAGGTTTTGAGTGTGTGGTCGTGAGATGCCGAGTATGCGACTGTAGCATCATCTGGTTTGAAAATGACGCTAGATACCGGCGAAGTGTGGCCGCTGAATGTGGCCAGCGCTCCGCGAGCGGGGACCGTGCGATCGGGCTTTGAAAGCTTCTGTCGCTTGTTCGACGCAGCCGTTGAACTGGGCAGGAAATTCGCCGGCGCGACGGGGTTCTCCTTTGCGTTGCTCGAGAACAGCGAGATAGTGGTATCCGAGGAGGCGGAGAGAATGCGACTCGAAGGCGCATGGACTGCGACGTCTTCTACACCCCAGCGGTGATTGAACAACTCGAGAGCTGTGGTGATAGTCCTCGCATCATCGTCGTACTTGTAGACACGAACAGTGTTGTCCAGCCCCGCAGCGACCATCTTCTTCTCCGACAACCATTTAGCCGTCTTCAAGCTTGTAATTCGACCACCGTTGTTGGGAGCCTCTGAAGTCGCCAGAACATCGCCCGAGGTATTCCACACTCTTAACAGTCCGTCATAACTTGCGCTCAATATCCTCTCTTGCCCACTTTGCACTCCTGACAGAACATCAACGGCCGAAACCCAGTCATCGTGTTCGAAGCTCGTGACGTTTAGCGGTGGCACCAAAGCCCTCGTGTATTCAACGTCCAGCGTCGATTCGGCATTGATACCATTCTTTGTAAGAAATTCGTCGATTGTGGTTCGGAGGAATTCGCCGTTGATCAGGATGTCAAAGGGTATGCGACTGCCGTCATCGCGGTGCAGGAGTTCGTTCACAAGTGTGGAAAGCTTGTGTCGAGTCAAAGCTGTGGGCGCATCCGCGTTAGCTCTGGATCTGGACGGACTGCGCAGCAATTCATAGCCTGAAACCACAGCAGTGCAGTCGCGGCGGTTCAAATTACTGCGCGAACATGCTGCAGTAGATGGCTGGAGGCCGCGACATGCGACTAGGCTTCCGGTAGTTCTACTCACATGTTTGAACCAAGAGAATGTTCGGCTCCTCCGAAATCTGCAGAGCAGCATCGCGCGTCGTAAGGCGAATCTGCACCTTGGTCTCTGCGGCGTCGATATCCATGGCGTCGGCGGGTTTGGCGGTATATGTTGATTGGTGTTGAAGTTACGAAGCTTAGGAAATTTTGGGATCTCGAACTTTTTTTCGAATCCGGTTAGCGCGGAAGCAGCCAGCCAGTCGGCGTTCGTGAACCTCCGCTCGTGGTAATATAGATTATGTCTTTCTAGATAGATTGAACTACGGGAAAGTATCAAAGTCGGCTGATACTCGGGCATAGGTTCCAAAAGACTAACCGAGAACTAGGGTCAATCTATCACTAGAGTACTACGAATGCACTCAAGAGAAAATTCGCTGTGTTGTTTCTCTCACGTAAATTGTCATTTACTAAGTCATACTGGTTCTCCTGATCTCAGCAATAGCCCTCCTCCGGTGATCACTAGGCGCGAACAGAGCCTCGATCAATCCAATCACCTCTTCAGCTTCCATTTCCAACTTCAGCTCGCCGTCCGTCCAGAAGTATTTGATATCCGCAAGGCTGCTGTCCAGAATTTCGCTGAGATACTGGAACTTGAACCAGTTGGGCGTGTAGATGCCGGCCATGTCTCTTGTTTCTCCGTTGCCATCCTCGGTCTGGAAGTGTTGGGATAGAGTAGCAAGCGAGACACAGTACCCATGTAGCTTCCTCGACTCATCTTCTGCAATATCTGACATGTCCTCGACATCGTTGATGAACTTTGTGAGCGCAGCTGACACCAAGGAGCCAAGTGACTGATGTAGAGCGCTATGTGAAAGGACATTCTGCCACTGTCGCTTCACATCACCTATGCGATCTATCGTCGTAGCGATGGCGTCATCACAGACCGTAGCGAACGGAACGTTCGTACAGCCTTGGAAGCCTTGAGCATCTTCAAGATGATCCCGAATGATTTGTCTTTGTGACTCCATCTCGCGTCCATATGCACGCTTTCCAAATCCGTCGATCGTCTTGATGTCAGATTCGATCAGCGGTTGGAGGCGTTTGGAAGGTCGCAAGTGCTGTGGCAACGTGGACGATTTATCTCTTTCAGCTTGTTCTTGAAGAAAGAGTCGCAGACGATCCGATAGTCGCTGGCAGTCGTTGTAGATGAGCATGTTACTAGCGATATCTTTTGAGTAATGCATTACAGCAGTAGCTCGGTACATTGCCAACAGGAGGCTCGGAATCGCATATAGACCCCCGCTTGCGGGTGCGATTGCAGACTTGACCAGCTCGGGTGAGTTCAGCGTGTCTACTTCTGCAATGACCTGCAATATTATCTCCATTATGGCATCTGGGATCGCTGTCACTGTATATGTCTCCCGAAGGGTGACCTCCTGGTGCGCCGGCTGTTTTTGAGAGGCAGGTTTTCCGTTCGTATTCGATTGCTCCGTTGCATGTGCTGCAGGCTTCGGCGTTGTAGTGGGTTTGGTATCAGCCTCGTCATCCCAATCAGCGCCCCAGTCATCTGCATCCTCTGCATCAGCTGGCTTTTCTTTCGCCTCTTGCTCTTTGGGTTCATCTCCAATCACATCATCATCCTCACCCCAAGCACTCATATCTTCTTCTTCGATAGTCTCCTTCTTCTCTTCTGCGACATCACCCTCCTCGTCCCAATCAGCAGCCCAGTCATCCTCTTGTTCGTTGCCAGCATGCAATGCATCACCCTTTGAGATGACTTGCGTCTCGACCCGTTCAACAGTCTTCTTTTCTTGCACCTTCTTCGGAAACATCGTTTGTACTCGAGCGATCGCAT